AAGTATTTTAATCAGGTTAGGAAGAAAAGGGTTTGCTCAAGGAAACTTAATCATGGTATGTGTTTCTCATTCCAAACTACATACCTGGAGTATACCCGGAGAGGGTTTAGAGGGTCAACGCCCACGTGGCAGGGTCTGAGACCAGGCCTCGTGGTGGATCAGAGTCTGATCAACCCGGCTGTCACTGCTTGCCGCATGTAAACCGAGGCAAGAACCACAGCCCGGCTGATCAGGTACTGACTTTAGGTGCCTGTCCATCGCTTTCTTGAAGACAGTCAGAGATCTATTGGTAATCCCCCTTATGTATGCTAGGAGGCAATTGAACAGTCTTGGACCCCTGACACTTATTGAGTTGTCTCTCAGTGTACACGTGGAGCCCCTGCTTTTCATTGGGAAAATGGTGCCTCTCCTGCCGAGTCTTTTGAATTCGTAGGGAGTGATTTTCGTGTGCAAGTTTGGTACTAATGCCTCTAGGATTTTCCAAGTGTTTATTATCATGCATCTTTTTCACCTGCGTTCCAGAGAATACAGATCAAGAGACTTCAACCGTTCCTAGTAATTTAGGTGCTTTATCGTACATAGTGTGCTGTGAAAGTTCTCTGTATGCTCACTAGGTCAGCAATTTCTCCTGCTTTGAAGGGGGGTAGTGAGTGTACAGCAGTATTCCAGCCTAGAGAGAACAAGCGATCTGAAGAGAATCATCATGGGCTTGGTGTCCCTAGTTTTGAAGGTTCTCATTATCCATCCTATCATTTTTCTAGCAGATGAGGTAGATACATTATTGTTGATTTTGAAGGTGAGATCCTCTGACATTATCACTCCCAGGTTCTTTACATTAGTTTTTCGCTCTATTGAGTGGTTAGAATTTGTTGTATATCCAGATACAGTTTCATTTTCCTCAAAATTTCCATATCTGAGTAGTTAAAATTTCTCTTCACTGAATTTCATAATGTTTTCTGTGGCCAATTTGAAGATTTGGTTGATGTCCGCTTGGAGAGTTGCAGTGTCTTCCATGAAGGACACTCTCATGGCAATTCGGGTGTCATCCGCAAAGGAAGACATGGAGCTATGGCTTATTTATCTGTCTATGTCAATATGAGAATGAGGAATAGGATGGGAGCGAGTACTGTGCCTTGTGGAACAGAGCTTTTCACTGTAGCCGCCTCAGACTTTACTCTGTTTACTATTACTCTTTGTGTTCTATTGGTTAGGAAGTTATAAATCTATCTGCGTCTTAGAACCCTTTTGAAGAGTTTTATGATATGGAACGTTAGTGCTATCGGTCTGTAGTTCTTTGCTATTGCTTCACTGCCTCCTTTGTGGAGTGGGGCTATGTCTGTTGTTTTTTGCAGCTTTGGGACGACCCCTGTGTTCATGCTCCCTCTCCATAGGATGTTAAAAGCAAATGATAGGGGCTTCTTGCGGTTCTTGATGAACACAGAGTTCCTTGAGTCTGGGCAGAGTGTATGGGCATGTCATTTATCGCGTTTTTGATGTCATTTGGAGTCATAGTAATATCAGATAAGTTCGAGTCTGCCAAATTCTGTGTCTCTCTCATATAAAATTCATTTAGGTCCTCGACTCTAAATCTGGTTAGCGGCTCGCTAAAAACCGAGTCATGTTGAGACTTGAGTAGCTCGCTTATTTCTTTGGTGTCATCTGTGTAGAACCCTTCTCGTTCAAGTAGAGGCTCTATACTGGATGTTGTTCTCGATTTTGATTTGGCATAAGAAAAGAAATATTTTGGGTTTCTTTCAATTTCTTTTTTTGGCTTTTAGTTCTTCCCGCGTTTCTTGACTAGTGCTACTTCTCTAACCAGTGTCTCCCTCTGTATTACAGATACATTGGCCTCTTTTAGCCACTCTTTTATTCTTTGCCTTCGCCTGTATAGGGAGCGCCTTTCTTTTTCTAATTTATATCTTTTCTTCCTTTTCCTTAAAGGAATATGCCTTGAGCAAACCTCGACTTAGGACTTGGTTAGTTGGTCCCATCTTATGTTTTTTGTTATTGAAATTGAATTTGGTGAAGGCTCCCTCGTGACTGATCACATTTTGTCGGTCTGGGGCCTCGTACATACATGTCTGAACCTCTATTATGTTGTGATCTGAGTATATTGTTTTCAATATGGTAATATTTCGTATCAGATCATCATTGTTAGTGACGATGAGGTCCAGTGTATTCTCCAGTCTTGCAGGCTCTATTATTTGCTGGTTTAAGGTGAATTTGGTGCAGAGATTTAAAAGCTTTGTGTACGACTTTTCATCTGAGCTGCCTCCTGGTCTTATCTCTGCTACGATATTATTTGCTACATTCCTACATTCCTACATTCCTACATTCCTTAGGTTAAAATCCCTCAGGAGTAAGATGTTGGGGGCAGGAGCTGGAAGATTTTCCAGACAGTCGTCAATTTTCACAAGTTGTTCCTGAAATTGTTGAAAAGTTGCATCCGGAGGCTTGTATACAACCACAATGACCAGGTTTTGGTTCTCGATCTTTACTGCCAAAACTTCAACTACATCATTTGAGACATTTAGTAGTTCCAAGCTTAAAAGTGACTCTGTGGTATACAGGCCAACCCCTCCCTCCCTTTTGCCTGTTCACTCTGTCGCATCTGTATAGGTTGTAACCTGGGATCCATATTTCATTGTCAAAATGATCCTTTATGTGGCCTCTGTGAAAACCGCAAACATTGTGTTTGACTCTAAGCAGTCCATGGATGAAAGGTATTTTGTTGTTCGTTGCCTGCTTTAGACCCTGTATATTTGCAAAGATCAATGTCGTCGGACTGGTAGCATTGGTGGTATGGGGGGAGGGTCTTTTTTTCCTGGCACTAATGTATGTTGTTTTGGTGTAGAGGCCATCGACTGTGATTCCACTCCAGAAATGATCGGAGTTAGTGTTCGGTTTCTGTCATTTCCTGCAGTTTTCTTTCCTTCCTGGCGGTATAAAAAACCTCTCTCTCTCTGGAGTGGCTGTGGCTACCCAGCTTTTCCCATGGTCTGGAAGGAAAGTTGCATTCTCCTGTTGTCATATGGGCACGGCATTTCCTGGAGTGGTCAAAGTTGCACGCCCCATCTGTTTTTCCATATATTCCATGTCTGCAGATACCTAATGCATATAATTTGCATAGGCCTGTTTCTGTTTGCCTTTTTTTGTGACTGCATTCCCTACTGTGTGTTTTCCTGTCTCATTATTATTTTCAGCACTTTTACTACCAGTGGTGCCTTCACCAATTATTTCAGGTATTTTATCTTCACTATTTCTCGGAGCATCCCCTTGTTTACTCTCTCCGGTGGTATTGCTAGTTTGTAACATTGGTTTTTGCATGTCCTTGCCTACACCTGTTTCCCCACTAGAGCTCCTGCCTCCCTCTGGGTCACCAACTTTCATTTCTCTATTCTTACAGTAACTGTCTGCCAGGACAGTAGCTGCACCAGGGGCGACAGCATCATCTGGCATAGTCCTTTTATTTTACCATTTGTTATAGAATGCTGTAAGGTTTACTATGAAGGCCGTTTTCATGTTTTTATCTTTTAATACCAATGTGATTTTTTTCTCCTAGAGGATCTCCTTTGGGCATACCCAAAAACACTTCCCTGGTTTATCTCTTGTAGATAATTCCTGAATATCAACACAAGATGCGTGGACCCATTTCCCACAGAAGTTGCACATAATCCATGCAGTAGCCCGTTTGCTTGTTTGGTTGCAAATTACAAGGTACACTGCTCCATCTGTGTCTTGACATTGTGGCAAGACTGTTAGTAATGTCTTAGTAATGTTCCTCTCCCATGTGCAGATTTTGGATGAATTGTCCCACCTACACTAGCGTGACTTTTATTATTAAGCAAATTCTTTGCAGAATGACCACCATTGTTGAGTGTTTGGAAGATCAGAAAAGACCTTCTACGGTTATTTTCGGAAACCAGCGAATCCAAGTATAAGTTTGTCAGAAAATTGCTAAGTTTATAAATGCGAGGCAAATTCATGTTATTTCATGATAAAATAGTTACACACTTTTAATAATGTTCTCGTAATTGGTATAAAGTCATCAATAATAATTCCATTCTTTTTCTAAGCAGGAAACAACAGCGCTGAAAGTCCGAAGAACAATAATGAGGATCTCTGAAGTTGTCTCACGGAAATAAAATCTGGGAATAGTTGGTCTACATATAAATGCCCAGAGAACACCTGCACTTGAAATAACTACATGACCATCTGTCTAGTTACAGTCTTACAGCAGTGAAAATTTGAAGGCCATTTGAAGTTTACAAATGAACACCGGTGAAGGAAAAAATTGAAAAGCTCAAGTCAACGCTGTTATAGGCCCCTGGCTGTCTTCAAGAAGGCACTGGATAGGCACCTAAAGTCAGTTGGTTTAGAAAGACACGTAAGCAAACACTATGACATATTTATTAGAAAACGTTTCGGTCCTGGGACCTTGATCAAGGTCCCAGGACCGAAACGTTTTCTAATAAATATGTCATAGTGTTTGCTTACGTGTCTTTCTAAACCAACTTGTCGGTATTTATTACCAAGGTTTATACCACCTAAAGTCAGTACCTGACCAACTGGGCTGTGGTTTGTACGCCAGTTTGCGTGCGGCCAGTAGTAACAGCCTGGTTGATCAGACCTTGATCCACCAATAGGTCTGGTCTCAGACCTGGCCGCGGGGGCGTTGACCCCAGAAACTCTCTCCAGGTAAACTCCAGGTAAACACTGAGAAGCACCTCTTCGTGGAGACTAAATAAATTTAAAGGATGTATTTTGATATTTTTTTTTTGTACAATATTTCACATTTGATAAAAATTTAAAAAACTAATAGATATTTATTTCTATTACTCGGGACACATTTTAGGGAACATGTACCGTTTTCCTTAACTATTAAATTCATTCAGGTCTTAAGTGTTACTATAACTGAGAAAAGAGAATCTAATATAAATTTTAAATTAAGCTACACAAATGAATACCAAATCGTGTAAAAATCTTCATTTTTTCCTGACCTGTTTATAGTTAGGGAGACGAGCAAGTTGGTCAACAGCGTAGGAACCAATGTATCTTGTGTCAGCGACTATCACCAGGAAGCAGTCGGCTAGCTCCCTCCTAACCAAGGTGGTCATCAAGGCTGCCAGAGATTCCTCATTCATATCCCTAGAAGCACTCAGGAACAGACGAGCAGTCGCTATCCTCTTCTCTCTAGCACTAGCTTCAGGTTGAAGCAAACTGCTTGGTGGTCTCTGCAAAGCAAGTTCGCTCGCTGACGGCGTGAGAGAACTGCTCGACGATACTAGCGTAGCGAATTCGCTTGTCTTGCGTTGTAAAGGCTGCTTAATCTTGAGTAGCTCATCAGGAAGAAGAATTTGAGGTTGAGTCAATGAGAGGTAAGATTCACGTGGTGTTGAGGGAAGGTGAGTGGAGATAATGTTAGCTTGTGGGTGTAAGACAGTGATAGGGGGCATGTCCGCAAATAGTACGGCATGAGGTGGCACCGGTGCTGGTGTGAAGGGTGGCAGGGAAACAGCAAGCACTGAGGCTGCCAGAAGCAGCAGCAGCAACAGAAACAACAGCCTCTTACAGCTGTCTCGTTTCCACATTGTTACTGATATATACTGAAGATGTAGTAGCGAAGCCACGTGCAACAAGCTGCAACACAAATTACAGGAACTATATCTTACTGTAGACAAGTATAGAATTAAGACATACAATGCTGTACTATGAATCAAGTTTGAATAGCGCAACCCGTCCTCTTATGGAGATGTCTGTCAATTACTATGACTGAAATCTAATGAAAAATGACTAAAATATTAACGCTTGTCATGCTTCCTTAATCTCCCGATTTATTGCTCGAGCATCAATTTACAATATAGAATCGATTTATTAGTATCTTTAGTTTGGTAATAAAGTATTGTTTAAAGTGTTTATAGAAAGAATTATAAGGAATCTGAGACAAAGAGGGAGTTGTAACAGTTGTTTTTTACCGATGACTCAGTTCTTTTGGAAGATTCCGAAAAGAAGTTACAAAGATTGGTGAAGAAATTTAGGAGCGTAAGTAAAAGAAAAAAAAATAAAAGTGAACATAGGAAAGAGCAAGGAGATGAGAGAAAAAAATGTAGACAATAAAACACTGACCATCAGACTCGAGAGAGAGAGAAAATATAGAGAAAGTAAATGTAGGCGGATGGGTCTATAAAAAATGAAATGAACCATAGAACTGACGAGGAGAAAAAATGTTGGTTGTGTTTTCAGACATCTGTGGAGGCAAGAACGTTATCCATTGAGGTAAGAAAAAACAAGGGGGGAGGAAAAATGTATTCCAGTTTAGTGGTACCAACACTCTTAAATGGGTGTGAAACAAGATTTAAAATGTTATAGCGATGAGACTGGAGGAAGTGATGTTGATTTTGAGAACAAGGTGTTGTGTGAATTTTGTGCAAAGAACTCGGAGCCTGGAGATCAGAAGGAGGTATGTGGGTTACCAAAAGTATTACACAAAGGGCTGAGGAGCGGTTGCTGAGGTGGTTCAGACATTATGGAGAGAAATAGGATAAGTAGGAGCGTGCAACATATTGAGATACACGGAAAAAGGGGTAATTGGTCGTCTTAGGTAATGTTGCGAGTAAGTTGGGGTAAAGGAGCTTTTGAGTGCTAAGGGCCTGCGTGACAGCGTTACATAGGAATGTGTGGAGACGAGAGATTTATATGTCTAGATATAGTGTTGCAGTTTGAGCAAAGTAATATCTGTGAAAGGATTCATGCGAAACAGATTAGTCCTGGAGGAGGAAAGTACAGTGCCGGCACACTGAAGGACAAGATGCATTTCGGAGATCCCTCTACCTCGGTGAGAAACGGCCTGTATATTAAAAAAACTGATTCTTGTTATTCATTATAAATACTGTAGATTTTACAATAAGTTAGTATGTTGGGGTGAAAGTTTACTCAGAATGTCATTAGGGCAACATATAACTGTTCAACGTCAGTCAAACACACTCATATTCCTATAACAAGGATTAAAGTATACTCTCAGTGTACATACATACTTACATATTTAGGTTAAAGTTCATAATTTGCAGAACAAACGAAATATTTTATATACATTTACCTCAGGCCATAGGAGGGTCGCACCGAAGAAATATGGAAGAAAGTATACTTTTCACATCAAGTCAGAGCTGACAAAACTCTGGTGCTCAGTCAGCTCCATAGCCACTTACACTCATCTGATAATTAGCTTTTTTATCTTCTCTCCCGCATGAACTAGCTATCGATAGCTATCAGAATATTTGTAAGCGAAGCATTTTTCAAACTTTGACCTAAGGCCATATGAACAATTGCCAAGCTTGCAGGAAGCCAAAGTCTTGTTTTGATTGGCTTGTTGTATATGGTGCTGAGAACTTTGTCCCGCAGATGAATGCTTGTAAAATCTTGATAAAGATTTTGTGATTCTTAAATTAAAATCCGAAGGAAAAACATTTAGCTAAGGTTACGCAAATTTTTCAGGATTATTTTTGATTTGAACCTAAACCTATCCTAAAAAGCAAACATAAATTTTGTAAAATTCAAGCACTATATAATATTATTTTTCTACCCTAGAAAATACATTGTATAACTAGATTTAACTCTTTTCTTCGTAGGTTGGAATGATGGGCTGGGGAGTTCACTCAAAAAAAAAAAAAACTCTTTTTTCATCCAACAACAACTTTGAATCAAAATGATTTTTAAAATGTTATCACGAGGATATATTTTGGTGTCTGACCTCAGACTGTGGAACTCAATTATTTTACTTTTTAAATATCTTCAAGAAAACTCAACTGATCCCCAGACGCACATGTTACCTCACAACAAAGGAATTTAAAGTAACTTATACTGGGAAATTTTAACGAAAATAAAGTCGCCTCAAAACTTCTTTAAACTTAAGAGATGTTTCTGGACTGCAGCAGACCAGCAGGTCCCAGACCAGCTGGTCTGCCTCAGTCACTGTTTAATATAAAATATTTAGTACACTATACTCCACACTTGGAATACTTGGAGAAGTTCATGATGCTTCACTACGTCACAGCTTCATGTAGTATAACTGGGCGATGATTTTTTTTTATTTAGTGCTGGAGTTTGAAGATAAAAACATAACAATTTCGCTGAAAGTCAATAGATCGATCAATACTAATGATTTATTTTCAGACCATCATGGAACAAACAATCTCAGATGGTGAGAATATTACCAAGTATAAGCAACGTACATGTATTGGATATTTTAGTCTCTCGCTCCTTACCTTTGCATGCTGTAAAAAAAGAGCTAAACTCGTGTCATACACTACCGTAGACTTGGGAGGTAATAAGGTTTGATTCAAGGAAGAAGAGAGAGTAGCTCTTATTCTTTCGCTTAAGTGCCTTTCACCATCACTAAAGTACCATTAAAAGGGACACTGAAGATTGGTTTTCTGCTGAAGAGGACCTCTGTATGATGCCGAAATAAACAACACGCTTCTCATATAATGTTTTATTTCACTCAAGTACATTTGTCTGTGTCATTAACCAATGTTTATTACATTTCTGTGTTTGGATTCTCTTCCTACTGGAGTTCTGTGACAAAGTGACTGCAGTAAGACAAGATAGAGAGAGGAGTGGGTAAACTGCATTTTCTTGGACTGTAAGAAGGCTTTTGACAGTTGCGTACAAGAGATTAGTGAAAAAGCTGGAGGACAAGGCAGGTATAATAGGAACCAGAGAATTCCTGACAGGAAGGGAGCAGCAAGTCATGGTACGCGACGAGGTGTCGGAGTGGGCGCCTGTGACGAGCAGGTTTCCACATGGCTCAGTCCTATTGCCGGTGCTGTTTCTGGTATATGTGAATGACATGACAGAAGGAATAGAGTCAGATGTGTCTCTGTTTGCAGATGATGTCAAGTTAATGAGCAGAATTCAGTCGGAGGAGGACCTGGCAGGACTACAAAGGGATCTGGACAGGCTACAGGCCTGGTCTAGCAAAGGGCTTCTGGAGTTCAACCCCGCCAAGTGCAAAGTCATGAAGATCCGGGAAGGGCAAAGAAGACCGCAGACAAAATACCGTCTAGGGTGCCAAAGGATCTTAGACTGAACACATCTCCAAATATCTGCTGCGGCATACGGGCGACTAGCAAACCTAAGAATAGCATTCCGACATCTCAGTAAGGAGTCGTTTAGGACTCTGTACACCGTGTATATCAGGCCCATGTTGGAGTATGCAGCATAACCTTAGAACCCACATCTGGCAAAGCAAGTTAGGAAATTTGAGAAAGTGCAAAGGTTTGTAACGAGACTAGTCCCGGATTTAAGGAACATGTCCTAGGAGGAGAGGTTAAGGGAAATCGACCTGATGACACTGGAAGACAGAAGGGACAGGGGCACATGATAACAGCATATAAAATACTCAGAGGAATCGACAAGGTGGACAGGGACAAGATGTTTCAGAGATGGGACACGCCAGCAAGAAGTCACAATTGGAAGTTGAAGTCTCAGATGAGTCACAGGGATGTTAGGAAGTATTTCTTCAGTCACATAGTTGTCAGGAAGTGGATTAGTCTAGAAAGGAAGGTGGAAAAGGAAGGGTCCATACATAGTTTTAAGAAGAGGTATGATAAAGCTCACGCTGGGAGGGAGTGACCTGGTAGTGACCAGTGAAGAGGCGGGGCCAGGATCTATGATTCGAACCCTGCAACTACAATTAGATGAGTGCAATTAGGGGAGTACACATGCACACTCACTCACACAGACACACACACAAACACACACACACACACACACACACAACACATACACACACACACACACACGCACGCACTGCTGCATGCACCAAGCATCAACTGAAGAGGACTTTGCAGCCAACTATCTTGACTCTTCTTGTGCAGGAGATCAATTTGGCGCTCAGGAAAAGTGAACCACCCCTTAGTTATTTGTGAAAGAAAAATGTTAAATCAATGAAAAATTAAAAAATAAGGGAAGGAAGGAAGTGAAGGAGGTGGATGGTATACGCTTGATATAATAATAGTTGGGATGAAGAGCTATTTGTAGGAAGAGAATATTTAATTCTTTTTACAAGGAAACAGTGGAAATATGCAGGCAAGGGAAGAAGCTGCAAAACCAGTAAATTGAGTTATTATAGCAAATAAACTGGAAGAGGAATTGAAAAAGCTGAGGAACAATGGGGAAATGAGGGAAAGGATAGTATGGGCAGAGACAATGAAGGAATGAGAAGAAGCAGAGAGGTCCAGAAGGAAAATCATTAGCAGAGATGTTCTCTGAAGATGAAGAGGCTAAGGAGGTGATAAAAAAAGGGTGTACAGAAAATAGTTAAAACAAAATTAGGAATATCACTAATGATGTACGTACTCCAGGAGCCGCGAGCAGGAGATGGGAGGATGAAGAACTTGTGAGCATATGGTATTCCATAGGGAAGGAGAATGAAATTAGTCCTGTAGCTTCCACGGCCACGTATGAGCTCGCATCAGGAATGACATATCCAGTGGTGTTCCGCACTTGATGTTTGAAACATTAATGACTCAGGGAAATAAGGCGTCTTGGAATTTTGGTG